GTTAGAATTTATAGTTAGGTTAGTTAGGTTTTCTAGATATACAGAGATATATTTGAAATGATAGTCTTCAAACCTTTCAAAGACCTTCAGAAAATGTCATTTAAAATGGCTTAGGGTTTTTTGTGACAATGAGAAATATCTGCTCCTGGCACACCAATTTCATCTGAGAGGAAGATGGGCATTGAAGAAACTCATTATGGAGTTTGCTTTCAACATGGCAAGATTAGCCCTTTGGGCAAGAAACTGCTATTTCCTGGACTGCTTGACTGTTGCTGTATAAACTGGACATGCAGGACCCACAGGAAAAGTGACTGCTGAACTCAAAAAGTCCTACAGGGTTCCTGCTTCATGGAAGAGTCTGCCTGACTTTCCACAGGACACAGAAAAATGATTGACAGATTGCCAATACAGATGGACAGTTTGAAATTTCCTGCTTTGCTAAGAAGTCTTCCAGACACACTGTGACCTGTGGGCTAAAGATGGATTCCCCAATGTTACAGAGGAACTTCAAGTGACTGTCCAGGTAGCAAGATGTCTCTGTCAATTTTAGTGTTTATATATTATCCTTCTGTGGTCTTTGATGGAGTTGAAGACAGATAGTTGTAATTATAGTTTTCCTTAGTTATGATAAAAGATAAGCTACATATAAGACTTTAGACTCACAGAGAGAGGATGGATAATAAAATATTTTCTTTAAATCTTACTAAATGTTATGTACAAAATACTATATAGTTCTTACTTGATCACTGTTCTGTTATGTTTAATTTGACTATGTTAAAGTTAATACCTTTCTTTTTATTTAGACAGAACAGAGGAGATGATGAGAGAAGTTCTGTGTATATGTCAATAAAGCACTACTGGCCAATAGGGAAGCAAGATAGGTGGGACTAGAGTCTAGGAGGATTCTGGGAAGTATAGTGAACTGGGCCGTCCCCATGTGATTTCCAGGAAGAGGGCACGCAAGTCTGCATTCTCAGAAAGATAAGTCCTTATAAACATATATATTAGTAATTATGGGTCAATAATTAAGTCAGACCTAGCCAATAAGAAACAATAGCAAATGGCCAATAGCTTCATAATTAATATACTGCCCTGTATGTTATTTGCTGGTTCAGACAGCTCGGCAGGGCCCAGGCAGGGAAGGCATTGTGTTACAAGCTCACTCTTGCTTCCCCTTGCAATCACTGGAAAACAGACGTTTTGACAATCATGAATGCTACACTGAGGCTATACCCAGGCAAGAATCCTTGTGGGTTTGAGGAGGGCCTTATGTTCTCAGAGCTTACTGTCTGCGAGGAAGATTCTAGAGTTAGGGAGAATACTTCAAAGGGAAGAGTGAGAACTACTAAAGCCAGAGCAAGGAAACAGGAACAGTAGATTTCTGGGCAGAGTCCAAAAGACTACCATCACTGCCTCCTGCTTTCTGTGAAGGTCATGGGGCTTATAGCCCGCAGATGCCTCCTTGGGTAACAGTTTCTTTACTCACTTCCACACAGGGAATACTTCTAAGACTGGCCAATATCTCACTCTAGCGTTCAGTCAGTATGAAATGTGTTTTCAGAGAACAGAAAATACTACTCTTAATGGAGACCGTGTTACCCAGGTCATTTGACACCGATGCTGTTAACACTCGGGATATTCTCTGTATAGTTACTATAAAAAGCCACACAGCAGTTATTAAAATCTCTCAAGATCATATTTAAAATAGAAAGAGAGGATTAAGCATTGCCCATATTCTACTGTAAAGCATTGTGAACAACTGAAATATTCTCTGTCATGATAGTGTAGATCAAAGTGACCAAGACCACTCATGACTCAGTAGACCTTATGTGTATTCAATGATTAAACCACAGCCATATGCTTAGTACCTTATCCTTAGTTTTTGCTTTTGCCAAATATTATCTTCTGGAGTATGTATTTACCTGAACGAGACAGAATGTTTGACCTATTAAACTCAAAAGAGAAAAAAGGTAATTTATTTTAGCTCCATTTGGAGATATCTTCTAGCTTCTGGGCTTGTTGGAGGGCAATGTGTCATGATGGTGAGAGTACATGACAAAGGCTAGTGATCTCACCTGGGCCAGAAGCAAAGAGACCATGCTAGTGAAAGGATGTGAGAAATACTAGTGATCTCACCTGGGCCAGAAGCAAAGAGACCATGCATAGCCCTCAAGGACCACCCTCAGTGACCCACCTCCTCTAACTACATCCACCTCCTAAAGTCTCCAGAACCTCACCAAATGAGACCATCATCACGACACCAAATATTAAACACAAGAGCTTCTGATGTACATTCCATATTCAAGCCATGATGGAATTTACAGAAAGCACACAATAGGTTCTCTTGGAACAAGTCAAATTTCCCTACACCCTTGTTTCCAAAAGTAACTATTTAGTCAATTCTAAAGTATATTTTACCATAAAAGGTATAAACTCTACTTTTCTCCATCAATTGGATTTATCCTTGGAAATTAAGGGTATCATTAGCAGAGCCTTGTTTATTTTGGTGCTTCTGTCCTACATGCTAATTACCGTTGCTATAAACAGCCAGAGTTAAAACTGACACAAGATTTCTACTCAGTAACTGTCTTCTCAAGAATCACTTACATCTCTAAATTCAAGACTGAGTGATGGAAAAACTCCTCGCATTGGCTCATGAGAGATTTGTGCATCTGGATCTGGGTCACTCTTGCTGGAAAGGAGCTACCCATTGTCCATTTTGGCTGTGAGTGAAGGCAGAAAGTCTACATCGTGGAGTAGACTTGACTTACTGGAGCTTAGGAGGTTGAATACACTGTCATATGGTATTTCAGAGAGTGTGCAAAGCCACCTAACTGTCCAGATATCTCTCCAACCCCAGACACGATTACTGTCTCTAGGATCTGACACTGTGACAAGATAATTTTCTGTGTTTCTACTCTATGATGAGGAAGACTCCCAGCTTGAAACAGTGGTATTCTAGTTTGCTTAGCAGAAAAGGTAGTATAGAAAAAACTTAATACCTATGTTAAAAGTCTGTACAATATTTAAGAACATAAGCATCATGTAAAGTCTACTGAGCCCAATGGCATTTAATGTGTCTTTACGACTGGGTTCTTCTACTCCCATGGTGGGATTGAACTTGATTTTGTCTGTATTAGTCACTTTTCCATTGCTATGGTAGAATAGCCTGGAAAAAGCAACTTTGGGGCAGGATCTTGGCTTACAGAAGAGTGGGCCTTGGTCTGGCAGCCAGGAGACAAAGCAATCACATTTTATCTGCACACAACAGGCAGAAGGGAGAGGGGCAAAGGAGGTTGGAGACAGTAAATGGAGTCAAACTCCAGCATCCACTCTAGGTGTTTCTTCCCCCTTCAAGCTTCCACTCCCCACAAGCAGGACACCAGGCTTTCCAACACACGAGCCTGTGGGGACAGTTCTCGTAAAACCACAGTATTGCTTTTTAAGTTATATTGTTCGATATAGTATATGTGGAAAGTAAACAGCATAAAGATCATGAAATAAAACTTAATGAGAGTGTGAGAGCCCCCTGTGCTGTATGCTTTTTAGTCACTCCTTAAGGGTATCTACTTACTTAAATTTTAACCCCATTGTCTTAGTCACTGTTAGATTGCTGTGAAGAGACACCATGACCAAGACAACTATTAGAAGAAAAAGCATTTAATCGGGGCCTTGATTACAATTTCAGATGTTATCCATTATCATCATGGAGGAGAGCATGGCAGCTGGCAGGCAGGTTCTGAAGCAGTAGCTGGGAGCTACATGCTGGTCCACAGGCAGAGAGTGCCACACGGTCCTAGTGTAGGCTTTTGAAACCCCAAAGCTCACCCATGGATAACATACTTCCTCTAACAAAGCCACACACCTTATTAATTTTTCTTTCAAACAGTGTCACTTTGGTGATTAATCATTCAAATATGAACATTCAGGTATGGATATGTAGGGACCATTCTTATTCAAACCACCATACCTTAAAATGATTTCTTAATTTAGATAATAAAAGGTCTAGATAATAAAAGGCTGGAGTCAGATATAGAGGGAAGTGCTGAGAGATCAGAGAGAAGGAACAAACCACAGCAGGCCTTACCCTCTAAGCATCTCCACAAAGAGAGCGAGTGTCCCTGCTTATGTCCTGTTTCTGTCCAGCTATGTCACTTCCTGCCTGTCTATACAGACCTCCAGACTTATGGTTAGCTAGTGGCAGTTTATGCCCAGCTACATCACTTCCTGTCTGCCCTTTCAGACCTCCAGACCTCTATGGTTAGCTAGTGGCGAGCTCCATTCTCTGACTCCCAGACAGGCTTTATTTGTGCAAGAAATATATCACCACACCATACCTATCAATTAGTTTTTCTATTTAATTTTACTTATTATAAATGAATACATATTCACTCTACTTATTTGTATTGGCTACTTTGACTCAGTATCATTTCAGAAAAATACATGCATTATAAATAAGCCACACACAGTGATTATATAATGTTGTATTATATATAATATAAATCTTGCTAACACTCAAGAGTTATTAAAGTATTGGTATCATTAACTTAACCCCTCCCCAGCCCCCAGTTGTGGGTGACAGTGTAAGTGGCTTGGCATCATCTACCAAAGTTGGTGTTTTCCAACATGTTTCTTTTAATGTTAACCATCCTAGTGAACGATCATTGATTTTAAGTTAACTAAACCTCTAATAAACTATGCCAAACAAAAGTCTGAATTCAAGAGCCACCACACACTAGGGAACAACAGGGCAGCCTCTCGCCATGAAGGACTCTTTGATATCAAGCTTGAAAAGGAGTGCGGTTAGAGTGACAGACAAATGCATTTGATTTGGGAACTAAGAGCTATGAGCAGAGGCTTGATATCCATATCCTAGAAGCTGATATTCTGATGATGGGAGATTGTAGATGGATGGAAACAGGAAGGGCTATGTTTTGGTTACCAGTTGGGCTTTTATAGCTGAAACAGGAGGCTGACTCATACTGTTTTCACCTTTGCAGGGTCTCCGTTTTGGTGTCTATTGGATATTGTTCCTATAAAGAATGAGAAAGGAGATGTTGTCCTTTTTCTGGCCTCATTCAAAGATATAACAGACACTAAAGTGAAGATTACTTCAGAAGATAAAAAAGAAGGTACGTTTGGTTGTCATAAAACATGGACATCTAACAACACAGTTTGGAATTGTTCACTCAGACATTTGGGAAAGGACAAAATGCCCCTTTTGATAGCAGCAATTGATAACTAGTTACAGCTCTTAGTCGATATTTGGTGTACATTCAAAAGTCACAGAGATGGGCATTTCCCTCTTATCTTTGTAATGACCACTCACTTGATAGGAACAAGAGGCTCAAATACCTCTGTGACTCACATGGGGACCAGATAGTAACATCACGTGTTTGCCACCTCTTCATTTCATCAGGAAGTAAAGATGCATTGACTGGATAAGTGGTGGTAAAGTGGTGATGTTATTTGAAGCCGGTAGGCAGAAGGGCAGTGTGGGGGTTGTGAGCAGATGTTAAAGCTGTGTACCCTTTACCACACAGCACACTGTTAGGTTTTTTGAAGTCGCAAACAAGCTTTGCAAACATTTTTGAAAGCCTCCAAGAGCTTACATAAATATTCTGTTCTTTAGTTGCTTACTAAGAAATTGCTAGTACTTAAAGTTGTCTAACGAAAGTCATCAATGTAAAAATGCTAATAATGTTATAAACAGAAATGGGGTCAAGTAACCAGAGGAAAAAAGACCGTTCTGCATGGGTTTCTGGGTAGTAAGTTGTTTTTTAAACTTCTTTATTAAATTGTCAGGGATTTCACATCATGTACCCCAATTCTCGTCACCTCTAGGTCCCTCCATATTACTGTCCCATCCCTGTTGTATCCCTCCCATGAAAGAAAACAAAACAAAACAAGCTAACAGGCGGCAAGCAAGAACAAAAACGAAAGAAAAAAAAGCATTGAACCAAAACAGAACAACAAAAAACACCCCTGAGACAGCAAAATCTCTGCTTCTTCTCTCCTGTCTCTCCATCTCCTCTGCATCTGTCCTGGTGACATTGGAGGCTTCCATGTGTCATATAGTATACCCCTTTATCCCACCAGCTTGACTGGTAACTGTTCATTGCAATGAGTCATTGGTCTGGTTCAATGTTTCTGGTTTTTGGTACACCATCCTCACCGAATTTTCACCGGAGCTCTTCCGGGGTATGCTGTATCTTGGAAATCTTGTGGCTATCATTCTGCAGGTCCAGTCCCTTCACAGACTCCAGCAGGACCTGAATGGGGTAGATACTAAGGGGTGGGTCAACGAAAAGTCCTGCTGTGGGCCCAGTGTTATCCAGGCAGCTCAAATTAAGCCCCCGGGGCCACCCACCTCAGGGGCATTGGCAGAGTCAGCTTCCCCTACATGCATGTCCTCAGCATAGGTTCATTCTCGCCTGTGCTGAGGGGTGGAGGTCCTCTCTCCAAGCACAGGGCTAGTTCTCTTGTTGTAGTGAGTAGCCAGAGGCAAAGGCATCTTTCCCAGGGCAGTGAAGGGCTGGGCTGGCTCAATATAGCCCTCAGACTTCACTTTGCGTGATCCCTTAGGCCTTCATAGGTACCACTGGCCACAGAAATCAATATAGACCTCAGCTGCAGCTGGACCATGACACATGCATGGCCCTCAGCAGCAGCTTAGACCTGGATGACATCCTGACTCATGGTGGAGGGAATGGTCACTCACGTGGGAATGGTTCCAGCAGCCTTGTGGTTGCTGCCTTCCTGAAATCTGCTGTAGTAAATTGTTTATCAGAACCACTGGCTTGGTATTTCAACCCTAACTTTTAGGAGGTGACTCCCTTTTAAAAATGTGTATGAGTGTTTGTTTCATGCCTTTTGATTCTTTGCAAATGGCAGCACTCCAGTGTATTGAAAGATACAGATAGTACAAAAACAAACAAACAAACAACTAAACAGTGAGGTGTGGCTCCACTCAGGCTTATCTGCTACACTGCAGTCCATCTAAGTGATGTAAAGTAAGTATTGATTAATTAAGTGAATTCCCTACAGAAGTTCATTTGATGGACTTCATTAAAGACTACAAAGTGTGTGACTTCTATTTAAGCAAGTGTTTGTATAATTAATTGCTGCATTGCTGGGGTTTTATTTGGAATGAAGGAAATCAAGCTGTGTAGACAGGGTTACCGACTGTGGACTGTGGACTGCAGTGGAGACTTGCCGTCAGTTACAGCACTGAGGACTGTTTATACTGGTGTCCAGTATGAGTTTACATCTCTCCATGGGGGAGGGATCAGCAGAAAGCTTTCAATCAAACAAAGTGGGAGCTCTCATTCCTTGTCTACAACTGTGCACCAAAAGAATTTAACAGGAAATGCTGCTACTCTTTTACCTGTCTGTAAAGTGTATTTAATATAAAATTTGAATCTGTGTATTAATGAATTTGACAACCTAGATTCTTGGTGCTCTGAGTCTTTCCTCCCAGTCAGATGTCCTGAAAAGAAAATAAAACATCATTCTGTAAGGAGATATAAGGTTAGAAAGTGTGGACAGAGACTTTCTGATCACAGGGTTCTCAAAGAGGTGGGGCAGGATTAACAAAATCTTTTTTAGGGCTGAAAAATAAGCACTTCTATTCATCAACCACTGAAACTTTAGTTTTTAAAATGTATTAAATAAATGTGATTTGTCTATAATTAAATAAGTATAATAAAATAGATTTAATTGAAAAAGTCTTATTTAGCATTTAACATAATTGTGAAAAATTAATAGTGAATTGAATAATTCCACAAATGTCAGCTAAGTAACACCCATCAGTCACAAAGATGTCATCTTCCACATCTTAGCTCAAATACTCCAGCTTCCAGGTAGAGACATAGCTCAGATCTGTGTGGATCCAAGAGGGGAAGAGGTGTTGTAGGGAAGTTAAGACAGATGAAGACAGAGATGTGCTCATGGGGGTGTATATAGCAGAGACTGCTTCTCTGCTTCTGTGAAGCAGCTTCCAGAGATGAATGCAAGAAGCACTAGACACTTCTTGCATTTGTTTTTACTAACTTTTGCTATTTCCCTGATGGTTGAGGCCATCACGTTAAACCAAGGAGACACAACCATAGTGTTTCCTCACATGCTGTTAGCTCGTGTGAAACGGGTTTTAAGTTCAGTTACTTAAGCATCAGCTAATAAAGCCCCACCCAACCCACCCCTGCAGCCAAACTGCTTCCTGGTTACCATGTCCCTTTAACAGTCTTGAGGCTTCTGGTCAAGCTGTGCTTGTCTGATTACTCTCCGGTAATTATACTCCTTACTGTCTGCTCATTCAGATCCTCAAATTTTCCCACTCGTGGCATCTCTATCATCACCATTCCCCATAGAAATCCTAGTTCTTTTCCTTAGTTTGGTTTTATCAACTTTCCACGGGCTGTTTCACTCTCTTCTCACTTTTTGTACTGATGTATACAACCTGCTTATCTCTGCTTACCTCTCTAAGGGAGGGGGGACCCAGGAAGATGGAGCCCATAAATGAGGTGGGATAAGGTCTTACACAATAGCCAACGTTATTAAAAGCATCAGATAATTTATACTCTGAGTATGGTGATATGTTATTTGTGATTTTTTAAAGCTTACCTGAGGATTCAGAAAGCAAAGTCAGCAGCCAGAAGATAGACGGTGGTGGTGTACACTTTTAATTCTAGAACTCAGGATTAAGAGATAAACGGATCTCTGAGAGTCCAAGGCCCCCCAGATCCAGATACAGTTGATCCAGTCTGAAAGAGAAACATCTCCCACAGTGATGACCTCAGCACCTAGGATCACATACCTTTAATCCCAACACTAGAGGGGTATAAAAGGCAGGAGCAGGGTCTTCAGTAGTTAGTATCAGGAATTCATTCTCCAGCCACACTGAGGATAGGAAGACATTGAAGTCTCAGGAGAGGCAGAAGTCTGGGGTTTGGTGGAACCAGGTTGCCTTTCATGTGAGGTAGGGTGGGAGTTAGTGCCCTGCCGCTTTGTTTTCTGAGTTTCATCTTGAAGTTTGAACCCCCATATCAGTCTCTGGGTCATTTATTTCTCATGCATCACTCTGAGAGTTAGTAGGAGTCACATTAGTAAAGTGTACAATCACAAGGACGAGCGGCACGTGGCGGGCGGGCTGCACGTGGCGGGCGAGCTGTAATGAATAATCTGAAGTAAACTCACTCCTATCAGCTACACCTGGGGGAGGCATGCAAGTATAATCTAAGTATAATCCAGAAACAATTCTGTGTTTCTGAAGAAACTGAGGTCACACCACTCTTGTCTTGGTTTCTTGGGTGTTCTCCGAAGCATGCAGAGCTCTTGTCACGCGACTCCGTTCTTGGACCCTGTTACTGCAGGCTGATGCAGCTTCATGTCTCTGAATGTCCCGTGGATCTGAAACATTACACTGAGTCAATTGATGATTGGCCGAGTTTCCTAGGTGTTTACTTATGTATGAGTGTTTTCTAAAATTCATTTCCTCCCAGCTCATTTATATGTGTTTGAACTTTACAACATTTTTTTCACAGCAGTTCACTCTTGACACTAATTTGGTTTTTCATTCAAACCAGTTGAGCTTAATAATACATGCTGTGTTTTTCTAGGCACAAGGCCCAGTGCCATTATTTTCACTTATTTCTTATGGAGTGCTCCAGATTTGCTGTGCTATGATGTTGTGTGGCCACAGGATCATAAGTTATCACCAAATCAGGATAACTAAAGTTACAGTTTCTAAAATGGGGGTAGAGGGGGCTTAATATTATTTTGAGAATCTCTAAGGGGGATGGATGAATATATATGCATATATATGTAATGTCATCTCGCCTTGCCAGTGAATTTGTGTTAGTGGCTACTCCCCTTTGTTTGGACATGATTGGAAGGTAGTGGAGGGAGTAGGGTGGGATCTCTCTCTCTCTCTCTCTCTCTCTCTCTCTCTCTCTCTCTCTCTCTCTCTCTCTCTCGGGTCACGAATTGGATTGGATGGGAAGGGCAGAGACTCCATCTTCTGGAGCAGGAAGACCGCAGAAATTCTTTCTTGTTATCTGTGCAAGTTGTTCCCCAACAAAACACTCATTTATCATTCATTTTGGATTATATATATATATATATATATATATAT